GAGAGAGAGAGAGAGAGAGAGAGAGAGAGAGAGAGAGAGAGAGAGAGAGAGATAAGAGGACAGTGCGTGTGTCTAAGCAACAACAACAACAACAACAACAACAACTTACAAGGTCCTGCAGTCTCTCTCGTTGCTTCTCCACGGCTGCGTCGATGAGCGACATCGCACGGGCTTCCTCTACCTGCACCGCGGCGTGCAGCGCGTGGAAGTACCCCCGCACCGCCACCCTGCACCGCTCCGCCTCCCCGCGAGAGTCCGGCAGCATCGCAACCAGCGTCTGCAACGCAGGGTAGTACGACGCGTCAACTACACCGACAACATCATTCACGGAAATGTCGCAAATAGTTGTAATTATATCAGTATAAGTTAATTATTGTTATTAATATATAATTGATAAATAGTTATAATTATACCAGTATAAGTTAATCATTGTTATTAATATATAATTGATAAATAGTTATAATTATACAGTATAAGTTAATCATTGTTATTAATATATAATTGATAAATAGTTATAATTATACCAGTATAAGTTAATCATTGTTATTAATATATAATTGATAAATAGTTATAATTATATCAGTATAAGTTAATCAAATTGTTATTAATATATAATTGATAAATAGTTATAATTATACCAGTATAAGTTAATCATTGTTATTAATATATAATTGATAAATAGTTATAATTATATCAGTATAAGTTAATCATTGTTATTAATATATAATTGATAAATAGTTATAATTATATCAGTATAAGTTAATCATTGTTATTAATATATAATTGATAAATAGCTATAATTATATCAGTATAAGTTAATCATTGTTATTAATATATCATTAATAAATAGTTATAATTGTATCAACATCATAAATTTTATTATATTTATCTGGCACAACACCACCGGCAAAGTCACGAAGAGTTGTACCTTTAGTTAGTGTACCTTATCTTTTAGTTTTTTTTTAGTATACCTTTCACGAAAACGTCGCAAATAGCTGATTGTTTCAATGTTATCAATTTTATTATATTTATCTGGTACGACGCGTCATCATCACCACCGGCAACATCACGAAAAGTTGTAACTTTAGTTAGTTTACCTTGTTTTATTATTTTTGGTAGGTTTTTTTACCTTTCACAGAAACGTCGCAAATGGTTGTGGCAAAATATCAACGTCGTCAATTTTATTATATAATTCTCAATTATAATTATAATCGATATAATATGTCAATGATGTCGCTATGTCGAATAATATTTCGACATATAATAATATATGTCAAATAATATGTCGCTATAATGAAGCTATGTCAAAGATAGATGACAAATCGTCATCAAAATATATATACGGGCAACTCTCTGTACACCTTGCACGGAATCGGCAATTCACGGTACACCAGAAATGTCGCAAATATTTGCGACTGTATAACGAGTTTAAAACGTCACAACTTTTGTGGAGTCACGAGGCGTTACGCAAAGGTCACGATATTTCGCACTCGCGTCACGACTACGTCTCGCAAAATTTTTGTGATCACGTAACAACTATGTATGGAAATGTCGTGACGTTTTGTGATTGCATTACTAGTTATTCCAAAGTTGCGTGACAGTGTTTGTGATTGCGCGATGTGGAGTATGAGGATCACTGATCACATCAGGACTAGTTATGTTAGAGTGGTGACGTTTTTCTGATTGCGCCACGACTAGTTATGGCAAAGTTGAGTGATATTTTTGCGATTGCATGATGTGGAGTCACTAGTGTTGTCAATCGGTTGTAATTTCGTAATCGATCAT